CCTTTTCCCTAGCTACTGGTAAGAAAACAACAACAACAACAACAACAAACAATAACAACAAATGGGAAGATAGACTGGCCCTTGTCTAATACTGTACTTGGTACAGAGAAGGCATTCAATAATGTTTCCTAAATGAATGGCGGGGGGGGGAGGTAACATATTGTTCTGTTGTAGTTAGGGGTTATTTTTGTATAGAAAAGTCTATTTTTTCTTATTCATTGCCCAAATAAAAACAATCTAGCTATGAACCTCAATGCCTACATTTGAATGCTACAGGTCAACGCTAAAAATGAAAAAGCAGATGAGAAAGTGTCTTGTGGATTTCTATATGAACATATATTCTAAGTGGTGTTGAAATTAGTGAATGTGCTGAGTGTTCTCCAGTGCAGCTGTTGTGCAGTAGTTTGGAGGAGTTATTGTTTTAGGACTTTGCCAAATGGGGAAACCAAAGAGAAGAGTCAAGGGAAAATACTTCCCCAACMCCCTTTTGAAGGCCTATGAAAACCAGCAGCTGTGGGGAGAATACTTTGTTCCAGGACTCTTAAGACCTTCTTATTCAACTAGTTGATAGGCAAAATACATAATTCTCCATGTGATATTAGGCAAGGTATGATTTAACAGCAATGCCCATTCATTACAGGTTCCAAGGTGATGTTTGATGGTTTTAAATAGGTAGCGTCATGCCATATTGCACAATGGAAAATCTATTTTCAGTACAGATTCCAAGCAGGAAGCTACATTTCTCATCAAAAGGTGTTTAAGATGCATCTGCCACAGCCAGGATACTGACACAGTGCTGATTAGTCTAGAAAGGACGTACACCTACACATCCCCAAAATATCTTGCCACTGACAGAGGACTCAGGGTAGAGAGACAGGGACCTATAATACCTACAGCCAAAGACTGGCAGGAAGGCAGATGGCTAACACAGAAAGTCATGAATGAAAATTGGCCAGTAGACCTGTTACTTTACAACTGCACTYGAGCAGTTGTAAAACAGAGAATGAAGAATTTGGTAAGAGTTCCAAAAAAGTAGACTTGCAAAAACAGCACAAAGCAAGACAATGTGGGGCAAACAAACAAACAACAACAAGAATCCCCAGATGTAAAATCAAAACATAATTTGAACTTGGGGCTGGGTTGTGGCTCAGTAGTAGAGCGCTTGTCTCGCATGTATGGAGAACTGGGTTCGATCCTCAGCACCACAAAAGTAAATAAAATAAAGGTATTTATTGTCCCTATCTACAACTAAAAAAAAGTCTTTAAGTTAAAAAAAAACATAATTTGAACTTAAAAATATTTCCTAGGCCATCTTGATCGAGGTCATACTAGTTCTTTAGAGAGGATGTCCTGGAGATTGCTATGAGAACTTCTGTGTATCTTTTAGAATTTATCATGATATCATATGCACATTTGCACATGCATGTCTATATTCATGTCTGTACACATATTTACTTATGCATACTGAGCTAAACATACACTTCTTATAGAAAAGGTATTTATTAATTTTAATAGACACTGTTATTGCCTTCATAAAGTTCCAAGTTTAAAACTCTCTTTACACTATCATATCTGTCTACTTTTTCCATCTCTCTCACCTATGTATCTGTATCCAAATATCTTCAAGCCAAATGAGCCCTATTTGTTATGACTATGAATACTTCAATTCTCAGAGTGGCCAAAGTCACAYGGGTACTTTTTTTCACAGAATTCTGACATACTGAATAGGACTGAACATGTGACACCAAACACAAGAATAAAATCATGATTAACAGTTGCATAAGGAAAATGTGGCAAGGAGTGAGACCAGAGCAATGCAGGATTTGGGAGGAAAGTGATATCAGTTTCCCAAAGACCTTATTACACTCCCCACCCTATATACTCCAGAAGGGATCTTCTTGACACCCTTTAGCATGAGAGGCAGAAGAAATGTTAAGTGAGGCAACAGATGAGGGTTCATTCCCTTTTCTACCTCCATGGACAAATGATTCACCCTCCTGAGTGTCACTTTCATCATTTTTATAGACAGAGATATCAGTCCATGGCAGCTTGAGGTTCAAATGTGATGAGTGTGCACAGTTCTAGAAGACACACAGCTGGCACAAAGTAGGTGACTAATGCATTTAGTGTGGTTTAGTCAATAACTGAACTCAAGTTGCTATATAATTGATTCATTGAGATTTCAAAGCAGTTTTTTGAATACAGTTAAAATTTCTTAAACATAGTTTGGATCCTTTTTTTCTTTTTTCAATCAGAAAAATACAGAAAGAATTTCTTTACTGTTTTGTTCAGAAATTCCCCCATTTGCAGATCTTGAGTAAGAATGACCAGGAGGTTCAGGGTACAGCTCGGTGGTGGAGTGTTTGCCTAGCATGCATGATATGGAGCACTGCACACGCACATACATACACAGGAAAAAGGCTGGGAGGTTTGTTACTTTATAAATTCTATTTTTAATCTTTAACCTTTACAGAAGCTTATGCCTCTGAACAGTTATTCCTCAAATTTTATCACTCTTTCAAGAAAGAGTATCCTTTTCTCAATGATTTTAGATTTTTTGATTTTAGATTTTTTTTAGATCTATTTTCTGAGGTTTGTTCTATATGCAGTATTAATTTGAGCATCTTTGTTCTATATGCAGTATTAATTTGAGCATCTGTCTCCCTGTTTGTAAGTTTTTCATATGGTTGGTTGGCAGATTCCTCAGCAGTTGTGATTTTTTAAATTTATATCCCCCAAAGCTTTTAGTAGAATAGTGGGCAGATAGTAAATGTTCAAACTTGATTTGCTAGGTGGACTTATTTTTTAAAAATCTCATCCTCAGAGAGCTGAGCCAGGACAGGCCATAAACACAAAAGTTTGAGTTTGCGGGTCATCTACCTCTTGTCAGACTCTGAGACATCACATGCAATCCTCATAGGTTATAAAAAAAAAGGTACCAACTCTGACTCATTACTGTGGAATTTCAAAAAGCCTGTCCTACTGTCACCTGTTCTAACTTGAAGATTCTTCAATTCTAAGCCCTGTTTCATGGAGAGGCCTGGAATGTAGCCCTCATAAGATAAGAGTATCATTCATTTTTTCTTAAGATGCTATCAATGAAGTTAAAATAATTCATTAAGATATACCAAAGCCTAACCTCCATCAAGGACAGAAGGAGGAACTGGATTTATCTGCAATGGTTCCTCATGTGAATAAATGTTTACTGAAGTGAGTAAGCAGGACAGTTCCACCTAAAACTTGGAGAGGGGACAGACCAAAAAAGCAAGAAGGAAATGGCTCTCCTTTTCAGTGGTCCGTTTAAATCCAGAGCCCGAGGGTCTGCACTCCAGCTCCAGGCGTGGCACAAGGCGGGAGCTGGAGGTCAAGGCACCCTCCTCATTGGAGAGCCAGGCTGTCACTCACCCCTGAACTGAACCGAGCACAGAGCCTAAAACATCTGCTGCTCTGTGTGATCATCCTCTTCAGGAATGGTTTATTATCAAGCTAAAATAGGGCCAAGTTAAAACAGGATGGTTCAGTTCCAAAAATAGTATCCTGAGCTTGGATCTGCTCTCCATTATTAACCATCTGTTAGTGGTTCAAGGCACCACTCCATGCCTATTACCCTTAGCTTCCTCTCTGAAAAAAGAGGATGTTAAATCTCTTTTTTCTAATTAAAAAAATCTTCATTTCTCTCTTTTTTTTCTTTAAAATCCTTTCATCTTGGGCTAGGGTCATAGCTCAGTGGTAGAGCACTTGCCTCGCACATGTGAGGTACTAGGTTTGATTCTTAGCATCACATATAAATAAAGATCCATTGAAAACTAAAAAAAAAATATTAAAAAATCCTTATCTCTTTCATTTAAGTGAATTTCAGTTGAGTTATTTCCCATGGGAAATATAATGAATTCTCTTTCTTTTCTGGGATTTCATAATGGAATTAACCATCAACACATTTCTAAAGACGGCGGAGAAAAGATAAATTAATTCTTATGAAACACTCCTTATAAACTAAACTTTTCACATTTATTTCATTCTTGCAAAAGTATTATGAAGTAGAAATTTTCTTTACTTTACAGTTAAGGAAGTTGTGGCTTAGAGAAGTCTAGTAATAAGCCTAAAGCCACAGAGCAGGTAGGAGCTAGGTGGCACCAGGCATGGCTCTCAGGGTCTACATGAATGAAAAGCTCAGGTTCCCCCTAGGCCTGATGCCAGGTGTACTTTCCGAGGTACAGAAGGTAGTAGGTATCCCATTTCAACAGATGGACAGACTGAACTGAGGACAGAAGACTTCCTAAATTTTGTAGTAAATAAGCATTTTGATGACAAAAAGAAATCACACTTGTTTATAAAACAGAGTTTAAGTTCAGGCTGGTGACAAATCGTAGGAAAATAGCCTTTCATATGATAACTTTATTTCTATTTGATTCCAGCATTGGCACTTCAGAGTTTTTAAATGGTGAAATATGACAAATTGAGTTTGTTGTGTTTTTAAATTTTTTATTAAATTCTAGTAATACATTTGATATTGTTCCACTTTATCGAGGGGCACCTGACAATAAAATTGTATGTACATAAGGTATGCTTATATGATGAYTTCATTAAGAGCATTTTTCTAAATGATGCATCCAGTTCCCCAACACACTGCGTCACTGTCCATGACATCTGTCATATTATAAACTTTTATTTCAAACTTTATTTCTTCTTATAAAAGTAATTTTCTCCACTGGAAATGATTAGGAAGGCTTCCCCAGCTGGGCATAGACCACAGCACACTGTAGCCAGCACTACACTTCCTCATGCTTCAGGAAAGACTTTCCTCTGAACTTCCCTTGTACATCTCTTTCTTTTTTTTCCCCCTGTGTTTGTGTTGGCTGTAAGCCTTTCAGTCCTTGCGTGTATTTGGCCAGGTGCCCAATGAGAGTCAGCACTTAGCCTGGAAGTATCATTTTCCAACACTGACAGAAGGAAAACTCCGCCTCCCACACCCACTTCTAATTACCATAATGCTACAAAACATGACATTGCATCGTTCACCCATCACTTGTGAGTGTCTACTTTTCACAGCTCTCATTTCTCCAGAAAAGGATTTTGAGCCACATGGAGAACATGCCTTTAAGCTACCCAGGTCCCCAGGGAGCACAGAGATGGTCCTATAAGCGATGGCTCCTCTGCTCAGCAATACTTCTGACGGTTTGCTCTTTCAGTGCACTAATCCTTCCTTTTCTCCCACTCAAGGTAAGGAGGAAGCAGAACCTGAGATGACTGTTTATTAGGATGCCTTACTTGTTTGTTAGTCTAGTTATTTTCATTACTCCTCAGTATTGTAGAGATAGTTGGAAGGAAGAGACCTGTGAGTGCAAATAGAGTAAATATAATCTTGATCTTATAATGGCATGGTTTTTGGAGCTTATTTGTGTGTTTTGAGACAAAAGTATCAGGAAGTGCTAAATGTTAGCTGCAGAACTGAGCTAGATGTAAAAGATAATTGATTGAGTCAACGGATTGGCAAATGCCTGTGGAGTATGTTTTGCCTTTCTGGAACTCTGCTCTACCTTCTTGAGAGGACAAACAAAGGCATAAAACATGGTGCCTTTCCTCAGGAAATTGTAGGCAAGCTACAATCTTGTAGAGGGAAAAGATTCCAGAAGATAATAGAGGGCAGAAAAAGGTAAGTTACATGTGGTTAGCATGTCTTTGAGAGAGGAAATAGCACTGATCCAGGGGTACAAAAATATGGATTCTGGTTCCAGGTCTCTCAATAATCAGCTATTTAAATTTGAGAAAATCATTTAATTTCTCTGGTTCTTTGCTTTTTCATCTGAAAAACAGTGGTAGGGGAATGGATTTGATATTACCATGTTGCTGCTTGCTATAAAATAGAATGATCAATAATTTATCTAATATTGGTATGTACACAAAGCTTTAGTAATTCAAAAGTGGGTGCAGACTTTGGGTTGGAGTAATCCAGGAAGGCTTCATGGAAGAAGGAGGAAGTAAGTGCCTATCTGGGAAGCCCCTGATGCTGATCAGGAATTTCCCACTGAGCTGCAGTGCAAGATGTGGGACCAGAGAATGGGATTGTCCATGGGAATGGAGATAAGTTAGCTTCTTTACTAGAAGATTTTCTCTGATGACTGTTACCAAAAAGAAAATAGGAAGCATTATATAATTCAGGAGTGAACCCATTTGGGGGTACATCTGAAGACTGCACCTTGGGTATATGCCCTTCTTAAGGAAGAGCTGGGGTGTGACTACAGAAACATTTCTCTAAAGGTGCTGACAAGAAGATTTCAAAGATGTGGTTCTACTACATCAGAGGCACTCCTAATCACAGACCTTCTCTCTCGGGGATGTATCAAAAATATGTGTGGACTTTCTAGAGCAATGAAGTTTGAGCAGAAAGAAAAGAATTGCCAGAATTTCTGAGCATTTAGGTTTCTGAAGAAGAGGAATGATGAGAAGAGCAATAACTTCCATTTAGAAGTGCTTTCTTCTGAAACTTCAAGTTTTATTAGGCAGATGGCTCAGAAGAACGTTGAATGTAGGTGTCACCATGACTAGAATGGGAGGGAAATACCTTTCTCAAAGGACACCTCTTGCCAGAATCAAACTTGGTTAATCCTCATTTTTCAACTATGATTCTAAATCCTTTCTCCTAAAGAACATGAAGTTTTTCAATGAGAAGATGGTCCAGAGTTTGTTCCAAATTTAGGGAAATGTGACAGGATGCTTAGAAGGCTAGTTTCTCTGATGAGCCTCCACTTTCCACCTGCCTGCACCTCCCTTTCCCTTTTGGCCATTAATAAACATCATTGGAGAGGAGATCTGAGTGGCTGGCAGATGGTGAGTCACTGTGAGGCAGCCACTTCCACCTTCTCAGGGACCCAGAAATTTTATTTTATTTTGTTCTCCACTTAGTTTTTATATACAAATCCCCACTTTTACAAATGTTAGATGGGAAGTTTGGCTCATTTTACACCAATAGATATTTCCTTGGGAGAAAAAAAAACAAATCATTTCCTCTCTTGAAAGATTCATTTAACTAAATGGTTAACTAAAAGGATAGGCTTGAGCTCAAGGAGTGTGGTCAATCTCCAGAGAACATAACCTCACATAAGTAAGTTGTCTCTGAGAAGCCAAATGTTCAGTAAAGTCCCCTGTTACAGTGAAATAAAGGACACTTCCAGAAGGGGAAGCTGTACTTGCGCTCAAAAGCACAGTAGATTGTATTTCTAAGTGATGATCTGCTTAGGGTTGCTTCAAAAAAAGAATTGAGTTTTTGCCATTTTGAGCTCAACTATTTGAGTCTAGGCTTAAACTAAAGTAAGGTTACAAGAACAACTGATCCTTCTAAGCAAAAACAAGTGAAACTGGAAGTCCCATGCCCTTCTTTATAAGTGGGTACTTACTCCTTTCAAACATCATCAGAATTATAAATAGAAACTGACCTGTGGAGTTCTGAATAAGACAAGCTGGGTTTGGATCACCTTGCCTCTTACAGTCTCCTGACCTTGGGCTAGTTACTTAATTAGGCGTCTCCTCGTTGCCTCATTTGTAAAGGATCATGCCAATTCTTACAGAGTTGCTTTAAGGATTAATGAGATAGGAAAGTGCCTGACAAGCTTGACAAGTGCTATGCTCTCAACAGATGGCGATTAGTGTTTGCAACATTACTATTAGTGAGATTACAATGAATGTAAACTTAACAAAATCTTTTAACAATATGGATATTCTTTCCCAATTTATCTCTTCCTCAAAGGCCATACCTTTCAGCCAACCTGATAATTTTTCAATTAGACTTCATTTATGGCAATAATTACAGAAAACCACAGTGGCAATTTCTATAGCTCTATATAGTAAAATCTAGATATTAAAGCAGCTTGCAATACAGTATCTGTAGTTTCTGGCTCTGGCAATTCATACAACCATGGTCTTGAATTTTCTCTATACTTTTTATACACTGTGGTACCTGGCATGAGATCTATGGAAKGTATCTTGGCACTCATTTATACTTATATTGTTACCTAATTGCTTTGTGTGTGTGTAAGCATGTCTTTCTAGAAAGATTATAAACTTTTTTTTTTTTTTTTTGGTACTAGGGATTGAACCCAGGGGCATTTAAACACTGAGCAYATCCCCAGGCCGTTTTTTATATTTTATTTAGAGACAGAGCCTCACTAAGTTGCTGAGGCTGACTTTGAACTTGCAATCCTYCTGCCTCAGCCTCCCAACCACTGGGATTACAGGCGTGTGCCACCCCAGCCATCTAAAAGATCATAAACTTCTTAAGAACATTAAATTGATCTCTTTAGCTTTCAATGCTATTGTAAGCTGTAATGATGTTGGGAATTTAGTACTTAAATTTTTGTCAATTCTTMATTATAATTAGCATCATTACCAAAATAGCTATATTTATTGAACAGGTTCAAGCAGGTTATATGGGAAAGCCCTTCACAAGAATCACCTCATTTAACCCCAACAACGACTTCAATGAGCTTTGTGCTATTATTTTCCTCATTTTCCAGATGAGGAAGTTGGGTTCAGAGAAGCTCTGTCACATGCCTATCAGGGGTTGATCTAAACTGAATTTCAGCTTCTCTCCTAAGACCACCAATATGAGGAGAAAAAAAATACAAGAACAAAATCAGGGACAGGGAATCTAGTGATTTATTTCTTAGAACGGTGGCTTCTAGACTTTTCTACTCTACTTCCTTCTCAATCAAATGTTCTCATTATAATTTCCAACATATGTATGCTAACTGGGATTTCAGTTTTGCTCTAGAAGCAGCCTAAAATTTCCCGGTCCATTCATCCTTTCCACTGGACTTGGATTCTCTTCAGACATCAAACATCTGTTCCCATTCTCACACTCAGCTGACAGTTTTGCCTTGTGGTTTCAAGAGGAAACAGGAGTGTGAGGGAAGAAGACTCAGAGCCACCGTCTACCTCCTGTGTCCCTGAATACTGCTTCTGTCCTGACAAGGGCCTACCTCTTTGACTTGGCACCAGCCAGGCTCCACCCAGCTCTTCCCTTTCCTGGAGAGCAATACTTGTCCAGTTTCTCTTTTCTTGTTTATCCTTAAATCCATTCTAATTAAGCTTCTTCCCTCATCACATCACAGAAACTACTTTTGTCAGGAACTCCAGTGACTCCAATGACTAAAGCCACCGCTCCATTCTCTGCCCTTTACTTTCGTACCTATCAGAAGGATTTGATAGCAGCTGGTCACTCCTTTCCCTAAGACACTTTCTTCTCAGACTCACTGCCTTTCCCTCAGAGTTTCCTCTGCTGGTTCCTCCTTCTCTGACCCCTGAACATGGCGTGTCCTGGTGTTCATCACCGTCAGCACTCCCTGACTTGACGGTCTCACACAACTTCACAACTTACAGCAACAAGCTGAAGATACCCAGATTTGTATCACCAGAACCCCTTATGTCCTGCTGACTACTCAGCCCCTTACCTGGACACCTACTAATCATCATGAATTAACATCTCCCAAACCAACTCCTGRCTGGGCCCCCTCTAAATTCACTGTGCCCCTCTCCGCTACTAGCTTTCCTGGCACTTCGGCCCAGAACCTTGGCATCACCCTGGTGTCACACTTGCCTCTCTCACGCCCTGTCCCATGTTCCTGTCAGGCATCCCAGTGAGCCCTATTCTTCCAAKCTTCTCCCCATCTCTACCCTGGATCCCTAGTCAGTGGCCCTTGTTCTCTTGCCAAGATGAACACAATGATTTCTTCTCTGCTCTCACTGCTCTTGTCCTTGCCTCTTTAGTTCACTTCTAGCATAGCAGCCAGAGAAATCCTAAAGAAAGAGCATGTATAAATCTTTCTTTTTATTCAAAAGCTTTATTTTATTTATTTATCTTTATGTGGTGCTGAGTATTGAACCCAGGGCCTCACACATGCTAGGTAAGCACTCTACCGCTGAGCTACAACCACAGCCCTGCACCAATCTTTTAAGTTCAAAAAAGTCACAAGTCTTTTTGTCACAAGGAAACCCAAGAACTTTGATAGTACAAAAAAAAAATTGTGGTTGTACCTAATTGAAACAGAGAGCTCCCAAACTTCCTCATGCTGAGAATAAAAACTCCTCACGCTGAGGACCAGGMGAAGAGAGCTAAAGCTGACATATTCTCTGGCCTAGCTAGATCTACACATGTATGTCATTGGCTTTTGTTTCTGTAAATGGGAACTGCTTCTGTGGGACCAATCTAGTTGTTTCTCCCCAGTTTGATCAAACTGCATAAAAATTATTTTACCTTTTTCCATTTTTTGCCTATTTCTTCTGCCAGTGGGTGGCCAAGTCTAATCAGGTAGGTCCCTTGGTTTAGCTGTAATAACACTGTCTTAGTACAAAGTGTCTTAGAGCATTTAGAATTTAAACATTTGTAATGTAAATCAACCACAACTGATGACCTCTTTTAGTATGTAAACTTCAGCCCATGGCAGCAGTTGGAAACTGTTGGTCCCATTTCTGAGGTTATGGCAGTTGCTTGTGTGAGGTGTGATTATCTGAATAATCAAGGATGAATAATCAATGAGCAAGGATGACTTTATTAAGTCAGAGTTGTAGATATTTTTGGAACTTACTTTCCCATTATTTTAAATCAAGATGAACATAAGAAGAAACTCCATTATTTCCTCCACGTACTAATAGGTCACCTGGCACAGTCTCTGGGGTGTCTGATTGCTGTTTATAAGAAACTTTTAGAGCCAGCGGGAAAGGGCCGAGATCTGTAGTGGTCTTGTGGGTAGACATCAATTGGAATAAGACCTTAATCTTGTGTGAAAGACCCACAAGGAGACAGGTGACCAGCTCCATCCTTTCCCTCTCATTACCCACAAGGAGAGCTAGGTCGCGAGAGGGACAGGATGGACACCTGTCCAGGGAGACAGAGAGTGGGACACGGTGGAGGGAGGGAGGGATTTCTTTTTCCTTTTATGGCTGTGGTTAGTGGTTGGCTTCAGAATTCTGAAGCTTTAAATCAGTCAGTCAAGACAACAGTGATATGTCGTCATCCTGACCAATTCCTCTTTTCCTTCCACAGCAGGCTGCTACAGACTCCTGCCAGGCCAAGTTTGGTGAGTAGCCTCCCTTGCATTCCGCCCTTGGACTGGTCTTAGTTTTTGATATAAGACGAAACACGATGCTCTCAAGAAAGCCTGTGTTCCCTGAGACACAGGAATTGACTTTTAATTCTGTTTTGATAAGGATAACACGWCTCAGGATTTTACAAGTGCTTCCCAAAGCACTGCTCACGTTTCAGATATTGCTAATGTCCAGGAGATGACATGGGAGGTTCGTGGAGACAACGCAGCTGGTGCCAAATGTGTAGAAGAGGAATGAGTTAAGGCAGTGGCCACTTTCTCTGCTCTTTTCCTTTCTTCACTTAGTTTCTGAGGTACTTTCCCTTATAGTTACCTGATATTTGTTAGAAAATAAAATCACTAAAGTTAATGATTACCTGGAGCATTATAATATTTCTTAGGATACATACAAAACTTCAAGTAAATGCATTTTTGGTGTTTATAGGTTTCAGGTCAAACAAACACCATTTCATTTGAGAGCAGAAAATGAAAATTCACTACTAACTCTGCAACCCCCGTATTCCCATATCACTCAAATCTCCAGGTTTCCTGGGCTTGCAGAGATTAGAAATTTTCTGTTTATTTGTCCCTGCTTTTCTGTCTTATTTTTGTTTTGCCAGTTAAAGGTATGGAATTCATGCTAAGTTGGAAATTCCTCCTGCATGTGGTAAAAGTTGAGAAACTCTAGCGATCTAAGGAAGTTCTTCAGTGACCCCATTGCTGAATGAATAGGAGAAATAGTGACAGTTCTTCCTGCCATTACAGGTCAGGGAGCAAGAGCTGGCTTGGGGCTCAGGGAGGTTGTTTCTTGCTCTAATCACCTCYCTTTCACTCTCCTCCAGAACCTGTCCTCCATGTCTTAACATTAGTCATTTATATATGAATGAGAACTTAAGTTGCAATGTTAACTCTGCAGGGCTTTGTCTTCTATAACCCAAATTATAGAGAATTAGAGAACAGGCCAGGTAAGCACTTAGGGTTTTAAAAGAACCTCCTAGGGCCCTGAAATCACATGGCTGTTCAAAACCAACTCATGGGTAAATATCTAAATTTCATATGAACCTATGAAAATGTAGATAGGATCTGGAAACCTTGTTTGTCCCTTGGTGACAGTATTAAACAAGGAATACCTRTATTTAAACAGTCAAGTAATTTCTGTTTATAAACTCATGGATTCACCAGTAGCTGGGGGTGGGAGAGCTTAGATAATGATAGTCCATGTAGGTCTTGAATGACACATGCGTACACACTGATGAGAGGAGCCATAATAAAATCATGTGAGCTCAGGAGTCTTGATCTAACCTAGGCAAGATAGCAAGACCCTGACTTGAAAAATTAGTGTTGAGAATACAACAATAAGCAAAATAGAGAAGCACTTGTTCTCAAAGATGTTATATTCAAGTATATGAGACAGACAATATACCAATTAATTTTTAATATGCTACATGCCAACAGCTTCTATGAAGAAGACAAAGTAGGGTAAAGGGAGAGAGTGACAGGAGAGTGTTACTTCATATGGATTAATTAAGGAAGGTGTCATTGGTAAAGCAACAGAAAGTAAATAGGATTTACCTGGGGAAAGCATGGATTGCTGCTCGAGCTCCCCAGTCCTGGTGTGCAGTTCTTGCTTCCTTTCTCATTTTGTCTTTCCTTCCATAAACATTAATTGACAAGAGATGCAGGGCGACTTAACTTGTTTTTCTATGCTCTGAGCAAGAGCTATACCTAGGATTTGCAACTTCTTTTAATTTAAAATATCAAAATAATGTTTGAAGAAGACTAGTATAGARTGTATAAAGAAACAACCTGTGGGTATTAAAGAATTTAATCAAGAAAAGGATAAAATATTGGGGCTGGGGTTGTGGCTTAGTAGTAGAGGGCTTTGCCTGGCATGTGTGAGGCACTGGGTTTGATCCCCAGCACCACATAAATAAATTAAATAAACAAAATAAAGGTATTATGTCCATCYACAACTAAAAAATATTTTTTAAAAAATATAAAAGGATAAAATAATAAAATATATATGCTTCCTTTTTTCCCTCCCTTTTTCCAGGACCACTACCCTCAAAATGGCAAATGGTACCTCCTGAACCTTCTTGCATGAATAAGACATCTGACTGGAAGCTGACAGTCCTTAAGAATGGCTTGTATTTGATTTATGGACAAGTGGTTTTTGATACAACTTACAAAGGAGTTGCTCCTTTTGAGGTGCAGCTACGTAAAAACAAGGATGCCATACAGACTCTAACAAACAACTTTAAAATCCAGACTGTAGGAGGGATTTATGAATTGCACACTGGAGACACAGTAGGTTTGATATTTAACAGTGAAGACCAGATTCTAAAAAGTAACACCTACTGGGGGATCGTCTTGGTAGCCAACCTTCAGTTCAACTCTTAGAAATTTGGTTTCCTCATCCTATCTGGCATATGCAGAGACGGTGGGCGGTTGGAGGGGACAGATCTTCAGTGCCTGTGGTTTGTCAGGGTATACAAATCAAAACAAACTCCTCTACATGTGAGATTTTTTTTTTCTCTCATGCTCATCTGAAAGTGACTCAAAAAAAGGGCCATAGGTTTTTGGTTACCCCTGACACTGGGTCTTCAAAGATACTTCAATAATCCATGACAAAATGAATACAGGTGGCACAGGACAGAAACCCTGAAAGAGATGTTTTTTTTTTTTTCAATCCTTGAATCTCTAGGTGGAAAAATGAGGTCCTATTTCCATGGGAATCTTATCTGGTTTGCTAAAAGGGTGTAGGGTCATGGCCTGTTCTCATTTTCTTGATCTGCTTTATCATTCTTCCCCTACGTCCATCTCTGAGAGTCTCCCAATAAAAAGTAGGCAGGTTGGTGGGTTGGCAATAGTTATAGCAAGAACACCCTACTATAGGTGCAGTGTTTCTAGGAGTCACAGAATACTCTGAGACGACTGGGACTATACGGGTGGCATGACATGGATAGTACTGTATGTGGGAGAGTTCCCTTTGTTTCATCATACTAGAATACAGGGTTCTTTACAAAACCAATTGGTCAAGGAGGCCTTTCTGAACCTTCACCCAGAGCTTCAATGTTTATTTGTCTAAATAATGTCAGTTGTAAATTAAGATTCACCATTAGAAGACTCACCATTAGTAATCAATAGATTTAATACCAGAAATTGGTATTTCTGTTGTTATATTATGTTAAGTAATGATTTCATATTTTGAGCTAGTTTTCCTCAGTTTGCAAAAATGCTTTCATATACCACATGGCAACTCTATGAAGTTAATGGAGCAAGTATTTTTGGCAAAATTTTAATAGAATGTAGAAGCAGATGCAACCTAGGTAGGTATCCTGCCTTGACTCAACTAGAGATGAATTACTTGGGCTTTTCACCGTATCAGATGTTTTAGCTTCACAACTCAAACAGTGTGAAACAGTGGAAAAAAATTTCTAAAAATAAAGCTTTCTAAAAAAAATTTTTAGATTCTATTAAAGCTTACTGCTTATAGGTTCTTGTCAAAAGACATGTAACACTGCATTTTAAGACAATTTAAATATTTATGGATACTCGTGAAAAGCTAAATTCTGCTATCACATTATACATCTATAAAAATCATTTTCAGAAGATGTTTTCCCTTCAGCACGGGGTGAAGTGAAGCTTCCATGGACCTCTCTTTTACCAGCAAACTGACTCCCTTCCTTGCCTGGAGCAGGGAATCCTGTGGTTCTGCTTGGGGCTCACTCCCTCCAAGTTCACCTCCTTCCTTCAAAGAGTCCATGTCCGTCAAATGTGCTAACTTCTAAAAATAATAAATAACACTCAATTTAAGAATTTTAAACTCTGTTAAAGTTTGCTGCTTTTATAAGTCTTGTTGAAAAAATATGTAACATTGCATTTTAAAAGTTTAAATATTTATGGATATTTGTGAAAAGCTAAATTATGTTAATTAATGTTATTACATGTAAAGCTAATTTAAGTATATTGTAATTGTGTGCCACAAACTTCTCTTGGGGCAGGCTAAGCTATTTCTTCTTATTTTAAATTAATATCTGCTGAGCAGCTATGAGACCAAATAATTGGAAACAAAGGCCTTTGTATTGCATATTTTCTCAGGAAATTAAAGGTTTATCACATATATTTGTAGAAACTTTGTATCAATTATCAATTTCTGGTATATTATAAGCAGTAGTGTACTGGAGTGGGCTGGCACCAGCTCATGAGAGCTTATTTTTAAATTTTCAGGACCTTTGCACTCTGGTTATTAAGTATGGCCATTTCTGAATTGGCTATGGTGGTAGTATTTACACTACAGGAATTGGCAAACACTGAAAATGAGAGCTTTCCATTTGGGCAGCGGGTTCAATAGCACCTCACTGTTTGTAAAAATTTCCCTTTACAAAAACTCTTCTCTGTCCCTGCCTCAGTCCTAGATCAATCAAGGAAGGCAAGGAGAGAGTGGAAATGTTGCACTTTCAAGCAAAAACTCAAAGCAACAGTGATTTCTCACAGAAAACAGGTTTCTTCACTTCAGGCAGAAGGATGGCTACCAACAGATGATTTCTTAATTTTCTTGGTGTTTTCATTTCAGCCTTTGTTTTTAATGTCTTCTGTTTCTTCATCTGCATTTTAAAACTATAATCAAATGCATAATAGTATCTGGACTGCAGCTGATTGATACTTGGATAATTAGAGTTAGTGATCTAAAAAACATAAAGTTACATCAGGGAAATCCTTGCCCATGTAAGACTTCTTGGCAAGTTATAGGCAAAAGTGAAAGCCAGGTGTAATTAGATTGGGTTACAGTTTGTTCCCATTCCTGATGAGTTAGTCAGGCACCTTCATTCTCTGACTTCCTCCCACCTCAGCCACTCCACCCTGCTTACCACGGAAGCCAGTCCTGACCCATCTCACACTAATTGTTCTTTTGCCTTCCATCTTGCCTCATTCAAAGCTGGCCCAGGGTGTGTTATAGTACTGTGGATTAAGCCTCTGCTTCTGAAAATGGCAATGGATTAAAAAGTGAAAGTCTTGTGCATTTGTTAGACCAAACTCCTTAGGTGAAGTCTATCTGCATCTTGGAAACAAAATTGCTGCCTTGCTCTGTCCCACTGAGGGAATTCCATTTAGGAAATTCAATGGGAGCACATTTTTTATTAGAGAAGACTGATAGGTCAGCAGTTTGAGAATTCCTCTTCTCACAGAAGCTGTAAATGATGCCTGGCACATACTCGTTGCTTGCTCTGAAAGAATACGCATTCTATAACTCTAGGAGTCTTCTGTGAGTTGCATATCTACTCATGGGAGACTGGAAAACATGCTTTGCCCACACAAGCTCAAAGAGCTTGTGCCCAACTCGTTGTAGAAACAGCCTCCTGTCTACACTACTGACCACTGGCTTTTCTTCTCCAGAGAAACAGATTTCTGGGGAAAGATTGTAGCCCCCTGTCAGTTTTTGCTTTCTTGGGTAGGAGTCAGGTACTAATTCTTTGTATATACGAATCAATAAACACATTTCAAAGTTCTCTAAGAAGTTCCCTTTTGTCCTTAAGAGGTATGAATTTAGAAAGTTCCATTGCTGCCATCCTTCCTGCCAAGGTAGTGGATGAAGATTCACAACATAAGCACAATTATCTACAAATGCTGTCATCAAGCTCTGCTTCTCCACATTATGGCTGGAAAAGTGTCTAAAAGTGGGAATTGTAGGAGATTACTTTGCTCCCTTTTATAAATTCTGTATATTTCAGAGTATATTGTCTTAATCTTACTTTGGTATGAAGATATTGTGCCAGTTAAAACTGAGTCAGAAAAATCATACTTTAACATTTAGTTTTACCCTTGTGTCTAAAAGGGACATGGGGATTAAAGCAACTTCCTTTTCTTTCCAATATCCCAATGAGAATGGGAATCTCTGAGTTCATTTGTTGAAGGTGATTGTTCCCACCTGGTTTCGTGGTTGTCTGGGGGATATTGCAGTCACAGTAAATCCCTGTTTTAGAGCCTCAACACAGAGTCTGAGTTGGATCCTTCATTCATAGGTGAACTTGACAGTCTTAGTTCTTGGAGTGGAAGACACAAAGAAATTCTTATCTTCCCTCCTTGCCTTTTGGTTGTACTGCCTGACTGAACATCTAGTCTCTGAAAGGAATCTGATAACATAGAATCCAGGGTCTAATAGTGCCTGGCTCAGAGTCCTTATAGTTTGTTGAGTGAACAAATAAAGAATCATAAATTTGAGTGTTAGTGTTAATTTTCCACTTGAACATTGGCAATCTACAGCATGTGATCCTCACCATAATCAACATCACATTATTTATCCATATACTGTTAACTCCCAAATATTTCTCTCTAACCCAAGTTGCTTGTTTTTGCTTCAGAGTGGTAAATCCAACTCACTACTCAAGAATTTCACATGGAGGAATAATAGATATCTCAAACTCCGTATGACCAAAATGGATCTCTTAATTCAGGTCAAATGAAATCCTCCTCATTTCCATTGTATTGCTTGAGCCCCCAACCTCTGGGTCATGGAATCATTCTTTATATTCTTCTCTTTTATCCATCTAATCTGTTAGGAAATCATATTGCTTAGATTTTTAAAGAGAATCTGACTTCTTTTCTGCTATAGCTCCTATCATAAAAATTATTTCAATAGTGTCGTAACTGGTTACTCTGCTTYTACCTTTGTAGCTCAGCAAACTTACTTTTGAATCCCAGTTTTACAATGAATCGTGGATCATGGATCTTGGATCTTGGACAAATATTTTTCCCTTTCTGAGGCTCATTCTCATGTTTGTTTTGTTTACCGTTGTTTATTGAGTGTATGACACATAAGTTGGGGTTAAATAAATTAACATAGAGGAATATGTTTAAACTATGCTAAAAATACCAGCAATTGTGTGTAAAGTTCCTGATACATTGTAGACACTAAGTAGGTGACTGCCATTCTTTTTACGTTTATTAAAGACTTGGGTTCATTTTCAAGTTTTTGAGCTTTGTCAATTCCCAAGTTAAGAGATATTTATTTAACATCTATCTCTTATTCTCTGTCCTTCCCAGGAAAAAATAAATCTCAAAATAATAAGCAGAAAACAAAAACACTTAGCTGTTGAGAAATTTGGAGTGTTCTAATTTGGAGTTCTTTTAAATAAAGTTGCTATAAACAGTATCAAGAATACAAATAATGGGCTGGGGTTGTGGTTCGGTGGTAGGGCATTTGTCTAGCATGTGTGAGGCACTCTGGGTTTGATCATTAGTACCACATAAAAATAAATAAAGTTATTTAAAAAAAGAATACAAGTAACAATAAATGTTGGCAAGGATGAGGGGAAAAGGGTAAACTCAAACATTTGTTGGTAAGACTGCAAATTGGTGCAACCATTCTGGAAAGCAGTATGGAGATTTCTTTAAAAACT